GCATTCTAGTTAAAGCTGGTTCGTTTTTTGCCTGCTGCTCAGATGTCTTGTTTGGCTTTGTTGGTAAAAGCACCTCTACAGTCCCTCTCCAGGCTATACAGACATCAGCCCACTACTCATCCCCCTTTCAGCTCTTCATTGTAGGAAGATAGTATTGACCATCTGCCTAGGTTTGACTGGTAAATGCAAAGCTTTCCGTAACATCAACTTCACATACATACTGAAGTTACCGAAAAACAAATTTCCCTGAAAAAATGACAATAATCTTTATTCATTTTGGAAACAAGAGCATCTCAGTTACTTCCTTTGTATTCTAAGGTTAGTATGGTCCTCTTCCCTGCCCCGCTGAAAAGCCTATCCTTCCTATGCACATCAGGCTCCAAGAAAGGAGCCCAAGGTGAGCTATGCTTTTGCATGGTACATGGAGAAAAAGCAGGTACTGCAAACTGCTTCTTAACACATGCGTGCTAACTACTATGCCCTCAAGAATTATCTGAAAGCATGTGGTGCAATCTCAACTTCCCACGAGTAGATACAGGGCTGCAGCAGGTGCTGCCATTCAAATGGGAGGTCTCTAGGTGGTATAGCTCAAGCTGCACTATGACCCAACATTCCATCTCGTTTAAAAGCAGGATTGTCTGAGGGCATTCCCACCTTTCATATGACCGCATAGTGTCTGGACAGAGCTGTTTCTTTATTTTGCATTCGGTAGTCACTACAGACTGAAAACACACTTTGATACCAGAGAAAGGAACCCAGCATCCTATAACTCCTTTTTCAAATGCCCCAGGTCTTCAGGTTACAGCCTTAAAAACCTTTTTCCAGCCCATGAGCCTCACACCCTTTGCTGCACCTTCCCTGTAGTTCTCTGGCAGTGTCCTGTGCATTGCTCACAGCTCAGCTCCAACAGGCACAGAGATGCTGCCCCTCTGGCATACCTCAGCCTGCACCGAGAGAGATGTGGGTCTGGATCCCTTTGGTCTCAAGGGCCAAGTATCTTATTTCTTAGATGCTTAAGTAAAAAAAAAAAAGCTGCCCTGGGTTTCCAAATTATACTGGGGATAGCAGCACCAATAGTCTCATCACCTCTGCTTGAAAACTTACATAAAGGAGGACTTATCAGCCCAAGCCTGAAAGCCACTAGATGTAGAAGTGACATTTTGCTGGGAAAGAGCAAAAAAAAGGCAAAGAATAAAGTACTCTTCATCTTTACTGAATAATGCCCACTCTCTACTGAAGGACAAATGAAACCCGGACAGGGGTGACAGTACCTGACTCTGCCTCTCTGAGCAGCCGAGGCCGGCATAAAGGAGGACTTATCAGCCCAAGCCTGAAAGCCACTAGATGTAGAAGTGACATTTTGCTGGGAAAGAGCAAAAAAAAGGCAAAGAATAAAGTACTCTTCATCTTTACTGAATAATGCCCACTCTCTACTGAAGGACAAATGAAACCCGGACAGGGGTGACAGTACCTGACTCTGCCTCTCTGAGCAGCCGAGGCCGGAGCACAGAGGCCGGCGCACAATGACAAAGTCCTTCACTTTCTGCCGTTTCTGAGGGGGACTGGGCAACATCCCCTGCAGGTCCTGGGGTGTGTTTTCATTGCCCAGCTTGTCCTTCTTAAGCACAGACACTCCCATGCCTGAGAGAAACTCTGAGGTCTTGCTGGATTCCCAGTCCCTGGTGAAGCTGGTGGAAACATTGCTGCTAGAGGATGGGATCTCCTGGAGGTGTTTTCTGCAGACACAGCAAAACCCACAGGCTTTGAAGGTACTGGCCAGACCAACACCAAACACAAGATGGGGCTCCGCGAACAGAAGCCTTTCAGTGTCACACATAATCCACATCCCCGCGCAGGGCAGTAACTTGAACTGAAACTGTGGGCGCTGGGAGCACCACC